AGCCTAGCATGTTGCACAGAATTAAAGTAAGGCAGGTTAAATCAAATAAAGCAATTAAGTCACTTAGACATGCTTTTTCTAAGCTAACAACAGGCTTAATAGTGCAAGTAATAGAAACAGGAAAGGAAACATGCTAATATTTACTTAAAGAAAATCAAACTTCCAACAATTAGCACAAGTACACACTCGTCACCTCACGTACAAGGCATTTCAATTACCAAACATACCAATCCTAAGGGGGAAGGTCCCCCACACAAGGTTAGACAAGCCACTTACCTCGATGCCACAAACACAATTCACGATTCAACTATAGTTTTACCCCTTGATTCCACCACCAATTCGCTCGTATCTAGTCACAAGTTACTTAATTACATCAAAAAATGCTAAATGAATCAACCCCAATGCATGAAAATGAGTTTTCTAAAGGTTTACCCAAAAAGTCAAAAAATGCCCCCGGGCCCACATGGTCAAAACCCGAGGTCGAACCAAAACCCAATTACCCATTCCCCTACGAACCCAAATATATGATTTATTTTGAAATCGGACCTCAAATCGAGGTCGAAATCCCCAATATTTTTGAAAATCCTAGGTTCTACCCAAAACACACAATTTCCCCATGAAAATTATTGATTTTGAGTTAAAATCATGTTAAAAGATGTTAATGATCGAAGAAAACTAGTTAAAAATGGCTTACACTGATTTGGAGAAGAAGAAGCCTTTGAAAAATCGTCCTAGGGTGTTTATGTTTTGAGATGATATGAAAAATGTGTTTAAAATCGGTTAAGTATAAAAGTTGCAGGTCGCAAGTATGGGAAATGAGAACAGGGGTTCGCAATTGCAAACCTCGACCTCTGCTAACTTGGGAATTGCAAAATAGGATTCGCATTTGCGAACCCTTCAAAAATGCTGAACTTTCGCATTTGCGAAAATAGTATCGCATTTGCGACTTCGCATTTGCGATACGTATGTCGCATTTGCGATCACTGGCCCATTGGCAAATTTTCGCATTTGCGAAGAAAATCTCGCATTTGCGAGCTAAGGCAGGCCTGGTCTGGTTTCGCATTTGCGATCCAGCCTTCGCATTTGCGAGCCAAGCTTCGCAAATGCGAAGCCTGCAGGCCTGGGTACACCAGCTAAAATTGCAATTTTTCTAAGTTCCAAATGCACCCCGTGGCCTATCCAAAACTCCCCCGAGCCCTCGGGGCTCCAAACCAAATATACACACAACCTCAAAAATATCCCACGGACTTATTCGTGTACACAAATCACCAAATAACATCAGAAACATCGAATTGAACCTCAATATCGATGAAATTTATCAAAACTTCTTAAACATCAAATTTTGCAATTAAGGTCCAAATCACGACAAACAGATTTCGTTTCTTACCAAACTTCATAGAATCATCTTAAATCATATATAAGACCTGTACCGGGTGCCGAAACTAAAATACAGGCCCGATACCAACATGTTCTAAACAAAATTCATTTTCAAACTTTATAAACAATTTCAGAAAATAATTTTCTTCAAAAATTCATTTCTCGGGCTTGGGACCTCGGAATTCGATTCTGGGCATACGCCTAAGTCCCATATTTTCCTGCGGACCCTCGAGACCGTCAAATCACGGGTCCGGGTTCGTTTACCCATAATGTTGACCGAAGTCAAATTAACTCATTTTATAGTCAAAATTTATCATTTTTCACAGATTTTCACATATAGGCTTTCCGGCTACGCGCCCGGACTGCACACGCAAAAGGTCATCACAAACATCATATTTGATCCAATACTTTTGCTGGATGTTGGAAACTAAACCAAGATTATTTAGTATTCCTAAATTATCTAGGATTTGATATTTGGTAGTTTATTTAATTCATGTCTAGTTAGGCTTTGTTTACCAATTTTATATTGGAATAAGTTTCTAATTTTGTAGTATTATAAATTGGGATGCTACTACTTGTTTTTTCTTGTAGAGAGATTCAAGAGTTTATGAGTTGTGAAAAGGACTCCTACCAAATTCTCTCCCTAGTTTAATAAATTTATTCTATAAAGCTTTTGCTGAATTTTTTGCTTGAACCTAAATTGTTCTTCAGGGTATTTGAATCCTTCAAAATGGTATCATAGACTGTGTGAGATTCTGTCAGAATCGCTCGAGATCCTAAAAAAAATTATTGATACTCCATATTTACATGATTGCCATGTTTTCAAGTTTGATGGCAAAAATAATTTTGAAGACTAGCATCAATATATAAAATATTTTTTCAATGTTGTTGGATTATGTCCCATTATTGAAACAGGATTTGAGGAACTCCCAGAAGGTACAACATTGATAGGTGATGCAGCTAAGCAATTAGAAAAAAATAGACAATTAGATTATAAGGCACGTTACTATCTCACCGGCAAGGTTGAATTGCGTGTATCTAACAAATTTTTGCATGCAAAATAAACAAAGGAGGCTTGGACAATCTTGGTAAATTCACATTGAAGTTCCGCCGAAGTAAAGAAAGTCAAATTGCAAGAGCTAAGGAGACAGTACGAGTTGCACCAAATGAAACCAATAGAGTCCGTTAAAGAATTCATTGCAAGAATTACTAGTATTATCAATGGCATGAGGACCAATGGAGAGTACTAGATGAAGTTAAAATTGTTGAAAAAAATCTTGCGGTCCTTGAGTATAAAATTTCACACGAAGAAGGTAGTTCTTGAGGCTACCAAAGATCTTAGCACTTTTACACTTGATAATTTAGAAGGTGAACTGGTGACATATGACATGTCCCTGACTCAAGACACACCCGAAATAGTGGAGGAGGCGTTGCAAGTAAAGGTGAATCAACCTAAAGCAAAAGAAGAGACAAGTTATCCTAAAGAAACAAATCAAAGATGCCAAAATTTCAGAGGTAGAGGTCATGGTAGAAGTAACTTTCGAGGCCGTGGTAGAGGTAATTTTTCTTATCAACAAAGAAATAGTAATAATTTTTGGAAGGAACAACAAGGTCATCAAAATTTTCAAAGATGTGATGAATCTAAGATTCGGTGCTATAATTGTGGTAAATTTGGATATTATGAAAGCGAATGTTGGTATAATAAATCTGGTAATAAATAGTACATGCTAAGATGGCTGAAAATAATGGGGATAAGAAAGAGATTTTATTATTTTTTAGTTCTGGGGTTGAAGAAACTAAAGGGAATGAATGATTTATTGATTCGGGTTGCAACAATCATATGAGTGGAAATAAGAAATTATTCACCGATCTGGATGAAATATTTAGAGGTACAATGAGACTTGGAAATAATGCAAAGGTGCCTACTGTTGGAAAGGGAAAAATTCGCATTACTGTGAAAGATGGTTCTTCTAATTTTATATCATATGTGTTTTATATGTCGAGTCTTCATCATAATTTAATGAGCTTGGGAAAACTATCAGAAAAGGGGTATGATTTGCATTTTAAGTATAGGATTGGCACAATCAGTGATGATAAATTTGGACTAATTGCAAAGTTTAACATGAACAATAGTCGTGTGTGGCCTCTTTATCTCAATAATAATGATTTACTTTGCTTTAGTTCTTTAAAATGTGATGATTCTTGGTTGTGGCATCTACGTCTTGGCCATTTAAGTTTTGGGAGTTTGAAATTTCTTGCAAGAAAGAATTTGGTTGATGGTTTTCCTTATTGATTTTCATGACAAGAAGTGTGAGTGGTGTATTTTGGGAAAGAATTACAGAGAACCTTTTCAGAAAGGCAAGGCTTGGAGAGCTAATGCACCATTGCAGTTAATTCATTCAGATTTGTGCTCAGCTGAAGTTTCTTCTAATGGTGGTAGTAAGTATTTTATTACTTTCATTGATGATTTCAGCCGAAAGACTTGGGTATATTTTTTGAAAAATAAATATGATGCATAAGATATTTTTAAGATCTTCAAAGTTTATGTGAAGAAGCAAAGTGGGTATTTTATTAAAATATTAAGGACTAATAGGAGCACTGAATTTCTTATTTGTGATGATTATTTGAAGAAGTGTGGTATTAAACATCAATTGATAGCTAGATATATATCTCAACAAAATAGTGTAGCTGAAAGAAAAAATAGAATAGTGATGGACATGGTGACATCTATGATGCAGTCCAAAAATATTCGAAAAGGTATTTGGCATAAGATGTTTCATGTGCAATTTATGTATTAAACGGGTGTCCTATATGGTCTAATTTTGAAAAAACTCTACAAGAGATCTTGACAGGTAAGAAACCAAATATTTCTCATCTACAAGTATTTGGTTGTCTTGCTTATTCTTATGTTCCTGATGCTTTGAGAAAGAAATTGGATGATAAAGCTGAAAAGTGTATTTTTATTGGCTATAGTCATGAGACAAAGGGTTACAAGTTGTTTAATCCAGATACAGAAAAAGTGATTATTAGCAGAGATGTTACTTTTGAGGAGCAGAGTTCTTGGGATTGGTCAAAGAAGGATTCTGAACCTCTAGGTCTCAACCAATAATTCCAGTCATAGAGGAAGGAAGTTCTAGCAGACATCAAGAGGAACATGTAGTAGATCCTGTTCAAGCAGAGATATCCAGCCGCCCTCATAGACAACACCAATTACCAGCTCGTTTGTAAGATTATATTGTTGGTGATGATAATGATTTATCCGATGAAGATATTGTAACTTTTGCTTTATTTGCAGATTATGATCTAGTTACTTTTGAGGAAGCTGTTAAAGATGATCGATGAGTTCATGCAATGAATGAAGAAATTCATGCTATTGAGAAAAATAATACATGAGAATTGACTACTTTACCACCCTCAAAAAGACCAGTTGGAGTCAAGTGGGTATATAAAACCAAGTTCAAACTAACTGGAGAAGTGAATCGCGTTAAGGCGAGATTAGTTGTTAAAGGATACAAGCAGAAAGCGGGTATTGATTACTTTGAGGTATTTTCACCTGTTGCTAGACTTGTACTGTTCGTATGATAATTTCTCTTGCTGCCAATAATTGTTGGAAAAGTTTTTAAATGGATATGAAATCTGTTTTCTTAACTGCTGTACTTGAAGAAGAAGTGTATGTTGAGCAGCCTGCTAGTTATGTCAAAAGGAGTCAAGAAAATAAAGTTTATAGGCTGAAGAAGGCATTATATGGATTGAAACAAGCAACTAGAGCTTCTGATTCTTATTTTATTGGACATGAATTTCAGAGATGTCCATATAAGTATACTTTATATATCAAATTCAAGCCTGGCGAAGATATTCTCATTGTGTGCTTGTATGTGGAAGATTTAATTTTTACTGGCAATAATCCTAAATTAATTCCTGAGTTTAGGGAGGCAACGATTAGCCAGTTTGAGATGAATGATTTGGGTTTAATGTCTTATTTTCTTGGCATTGAGGTATCTCAATTAGATAGTGGAATATTTATCTCTCAGAAAAAATATGCTGGTGATATTCTGAAGGGATTTAATATGGATAGAACCAAACCAATTTTGACCCCTGTTGAAGAAAAATTGAAGTTGGTTAGAGATGAGGCAGGTGACTTTGTTGATGCTACATATTTTAGAAAATTGGTAGGGAGTATAAGGTACTTGACTTCTACAAGGCCTGATATTAATTATTTAGTTGGATTAATTAGCAGATTTATGGAGACTACACGACAATCCCACTTGCAAGTAGCAAAGAGAATTTTGAGATATATTCAAGGTGCGCAAACTAATAGTATATTTTATTCAAAGACTAATGATAGTAGTCTTTTGGGATTTACAGATAGTGATTGGCTGGTGATACAATACAAAGAAAAAGTACTTCTGGCTATGCATTTTATTTGGGTTCTGGTGTATTTTATTGGTCTTCCAAAAAGCAATAAGTTGTTGCTTTATCAACAGCTGAAGTAGAGTACATGACTGCAACAAGTAGTGCTACACAAGCATTGTAGTTAAGAAGAATGATTGGATTTCTTCAATACAAGCAAGACAGTCCTACAATAATTTTTTGTGATAGCAAGTCCGCAATTGAGTTATCAAAGAATCTAGCTTTTCATGGGCGTAGTAAATACATTGATATCAAATTTTACTTTATTCGTGACTTGATTCAAGACAAAGTGTCACGACCCTAACCCCGAACTCGGTCGTGATGGCGCCATTCGTGAAGACAAGGCCAGCCAATTAAATCCAATTCACCTTTTTAAAATAGTTAAACAATATAAAAGCAGTCTAAACATGATTTAATGATAATAAGTAGCGGAAATACAACCTGACACAGCCCTAACCGGGGTGTCGCAAGTCACGAGCATCTACTAGGGTATAAATACAACTGAAAGTCTAAAGTGTACAAATATAGACTAATGAAATGAAGAGAAAGAAAAGCAGTGCTGCGAACGCCGACAGCTACCTTGCCAAACTCCGATGACTCTACCTCCGCTCAACCAAAACCCACTACCGGGTGTTTAAATACCTGAATCTGCACACAAGGTATAGGGAGTAAAGTGAGTACTCCAACTTAGTGAATAATAATCATAACTAAAGCCTGAATGGTAAGAAATCACGTAAAGCATATCAAGATGTTGTACAGAAGCAGTTCAAAAATCAGTAAGAATTCATTGAAACTGTAAAAATCTCTTAAAACATCTTAGCTCAGTTTAAACTTCTTTGAAAAATGACTTTTTCAATAGTTACGCAAATGAATGCAAAATAGTTAGTGCAGACAAGCACAAAAATCTGCCCCTCGGGCACAAATACCATAGTTCAACAGGTAAATGACAAGTAAATATGAAAGATAAACACATAAAGGTTCGCCCCTCGGGCACAATGTCAACAACTCCGCCCCTCGGGTCATATCTCAGAACAATACCAGCCCCTCGGACAATCACATAGAACGGTACCAGCCCCTCGGGCAATCACATAGAACAATACCAGCCCCTCGGGCTATCACATAGAACAATATCAACCCCTCGGGCTATATCTCACATCACAATGGATACCCCGCTCACTAGGGGTGTACAGACTCCGGGCAGGGCCCCTAACGTCCCAAGCGCAATATCAAGCCACCTCGTGGCGCACAATCTCAGGCCCTCGACCTCATTATCATAATCAGTATATCACCGCTGCAGCGTGCAACCTGACCCAAAAGTATCCTCACAATACAGGCCCTCGGCCTTACTCAGTCAAAAATCACATAAGCCACTCGGGCAATAGTAAAACATAACGCTCAGCCCAAAATATTTTTTAAAATATCATTTCAAGTGTTAAAGCAGAGTAAACATGGTTGCGTTTTGAAAACAGTGGAAAATAACATGATTGAGTTCAAGTATAAAGTCAAAATAGTGAGGAAATATCAACAAAAATCCCCGAAGGGTTCAAATAACTGGCACTAGGTCCAAATATGGCTTTCAACCCAAATAATGATGATAGCAAATAGTTTTCAATCAAATACGCGGTAAAATCATCAATCGGGACGGACCAAGTCACAATCCCCAATAGTGCACTACCCCACGCTCGTCATCAAGCATGTTCCTCACCTCAATATAGCACAACAATGTGCAATACGGGGTTTCAAACCCTCAGAACATCATTTACAATCATTACTCACCTCGAACGGGCTAAATCTCTAGCTCGCGACGCTTTTGCCCCTCAAATCGGCCTCCACGTGCGTCGAATCTATCCAAAGACAGAACATGGACGTCAAAATATGCTAAGGGAACAAAGTCCAAGCGAAAACAATCAAAATATGACACAATTTCCGAAATTACCAAAACCCGAGCCCCGTGCCCCCGTCTCAGAATCAGGTAAAATTTACATTTTCAGAATCATCATACCCTCACGAGTCTAACCATACCATAATTATCCAATTCCGGTACTATTTGGTCCTTCAAATCATCATTTTATATTTTTGGAAGTTTCCACAAATTTTCTTCCCAAATTCTATCCCAAATCACGAATTCAATGATAGCTTCATGCACTCTAGCCAAATCTGAGTTAGAATCACTTACCCCGATGAATTCTTGACAAACCTTCGAAAAATCGCCAAAATCCGAGCTCTCTAGGTCAAAATATTAAATAAAACCCAAAACCTCATATTTATAGAGTACCCCACGGATTTCCACCTCTGCGGACCGCACAAAAACGACCGCGGTCCGCACAAAACCAGTGCGGTCCACACAAAAACGACTACGGCCGCACAGGTTTTTATCTGTAGTGACAAGATTTAGTATTTTGGCCATAACTTTCGCGACCGATGTCCAAATTGCGATATCTTTACCTTTCTGGAAACTAGACATGAAGGGCTAGAACTTTTGTTTTTGAATCATCTCAAACTTCCTTGTAGATCAAATGATATGAGCTTCCGAAGTAGGACTAGTGAAATGTTTCCCACCGCGGCCGCACTACATTTTGTGCGGTCCGCACAGCACCTACCGCAGATGCACTTCATTTTGTGCGGACCGCGCTGGTGGGTTCCGAGGCCTGCAACTCTTCTGGACCTGCTACAGCTATGATTTTTGGCCTAACACATCCCGGAACCTACCCGGAACCCCCGGAACTTCAAACCAATTGTACCAATACATCCCATGACTTCGTTCAAACTTGTTCAAAACATCGAAACGCTTACAACAACATCAAATCACCAATTTAACATAGGATTCAAGCCTAAGAACTCCAAGAACTCTTAAATTATGCTTTCGATCAAAATGTCTATCAAATCTCGTCCGTATGACCTGAAATTTTACACACACATCCCAAATGACACAACAAAGCTACTACAACTCTCGGAATTCCATTCCGACTCCTATATCAAAATCTCGCCTATCAGCCGGAAATCGCCAAAATATCAACTTTGTCAATTCAAGCCTAAATCTTCTCTACAACTCCAAAACCCATTCTGATTGCGTTCCTAAGTCACAAATCACCTCCCGAAGCTAACCGAACCATCGGAACTCACATCTGAGCCCTCTAACACATAAGTCAACATCCAGTTGACTTTTCCAACTTAAGCCTTCTTAAAAGAGACTAAGTGTCTCATTTCTTACCAAATCCTCTCCGAACTCAGACTAATCAACCCGATCACATAAAACACAGATAACGAAGCATAAAGAAGCTGAAATGGGGAAAATAGAGTAGAGACTCATGAGACGACTGGCCAGGTCGTCACATCCTCCCCAATTTAAACAAACATTTGTCCTCGAACGTGCCCAAAGTTGTTCCAGAAGCCAACCAATTGCTGAATAACGTTACCATGCATATACCCGGGGGTGATCCCATGTCACCCTATCTCATACAAGTCCGATAACACAATGCAACTAAAATTTCACAATCCGACCTAGCCCATAAACCTTAGAACCCCATTTCCACTATCGAAATCATCCACAAGATCAGAATCTCACATCTATATTTAGAATAAACCCTAACCAACTGTAATAACCTATACCTGCAACCTCAGGTGTAATTACATGATAAACCTCGTAACTCAAACGCTCGTATCGATAACTTCTATTCACAGCAGCTGCCCACAACAACCGAATATCCGTAGAAAACCTCTTATCAACTAAAGTTTCATCCCAACATTTTCATATACTGCCAACGATAAATGAAACATGCAATAAACCATAACCATTTCTCAGATCAACCATTCATGAAGCCACTTCTCCTTTGGTAAATACCATAGCAAATTTCTGAGCCAAACCTCGATATTATTCTTCCAACATGCTGAAATCGAATCCGTTCGTATTCATTAATTATCCCAACGATCTCCTCTAATCCAACACACCACTCTGATGACATGACACATCAATATAGGCCTAAGCCACAACTTGCATAATACACGCACCAATAAGCAACGGTTCGAACATACTCAAATCATGAAAATGACTTAAATGGAAGAGATGTACCTCAAGCTCACCAGTACCACCACAACACAAGGCTAAGAACCCGTCTCACATCATAGGAACAGAACACACGAATCTAACCTTCAAGGTCATACATCCACATAAATTCGCTGCAATGCGCGTCCTTATCCAAACACTACTTCTCATGGAACACCTCAAGTCACTCTGCTCGAAATTGACGACCACGCGCAATTGATGTCTAGATCAAAGTAAATCATCATAACCACGGTAAAGCAAGTACATAACACCGCACAACCCGAAAGGGTATAATAGATGCGCCATCCGCCAAGCAATATCCAATACTCCTCCCACTCGAATCCTGCTGAGAGACCCCAATAACACCGCACCACATGTGCCGATAACCAAAAAATCCTAACGCCTTGCAACACGGAAAGGTAACTCATAGGTCTCCCCGGTTTACTAATAAGCTCAATAACCGACGAATCAACATCTCTCTCAACAATACAATTCGGAGCCAACCAAGCCGACTCAAGTTAGAACACGCATCCACATTGTCCTGCCAACGAACTCCTTATCAAAGAAATCCTGAAGCTGCTCCTTCCACCCCTTTAACTCTGCCGGTGCCATACGATATGGTGCCCGACATCAAATTAATACCTAAATCAACGAACCTGCCCGACGACATGCCCGACCACAAGAAACACATGCGAAAAGTCCCTCACCACCAGAACTGAATCAATGGTAGAAGCCTCTACACTGACATCTATCACGAAAGCCCAATTAAGAAAGACAATCCTTCCCAACCGTCCGCTGGGTCTTCGAAATATAAAACCACTCCACTAGGGCATAATCCTACGGACCTCGCTACTTAATTCGTGGCGTGTCTAACATAGCCAATAGTGCCACCTTAGCACAATAGTCCAGAATGACACAACACGGAGAGAACCAGTCTGAACCCAATATCCCATCCAAAATATAACATGCCAAGCACAAAAGATCCGCTCGGGTCTACAAACCCCGATAGTCACTAAACAGTGCCGCTACACATGACTCACA